CTCTGTAGACCAGGCTGGCCTCGAACTCACAGAGATCCGCCTGCCTCTGCCTCCCGAGTGCTGGGATTAAAGGCGTGTGCCACCACCGCCTGGCTGGTGTGGACTTTTGAAACCTCAGAGCCCAGTGGCACACTTCCTCCAACAAGGCCACAGCTCCTAATCCTTCTAAACCTTCTCAAATAGTGCCACTCTTAATGACTAAGCATTCAAATATATGAGCCTATGGGGGGCATTCTTATTCAAACCACTACAATGGGTTTATCGTTTTTGGCTTGGCCAATTGGAGTCAACTTCTGGAATGAGACAGATAAGAGTCCCAAGATCGAGGGAAAGAAGAATTTCAATCCTCAATCAAACTTATGATTTGGGGGCCTGGGGAGATGGCTCAGTGGGTAAAGTGCTTGCCTTACAAGTGTGAGGACTAGAATTTGGGTTCCCAGCACCCACATAAGTGCTAGGCAAGTGTGATGGCCTGCCTGTAATCCCAGCATACAGAAGGCTAAGGCAGGATCCTTGGGGCAAGCTGGGCAAGCTCCAGGTTCAGTAGGAGGCCCCACCTCAGGAGGCTATCGAACAAGACACCCAACATCAACCTCTGGCTTCCATGTGCATGCACACTTGTGCACATACTTTCATACCCACGTGTATCCATAAACATGCAAACATGCTTATACACGTGCACACTATACACATACACATTTAAAAATTAGAAATTGGGGTTAGATAGTGTATGTTACTTTGTTACTTTGTAAAATACAGACAAAAGAACCTTAAGGAAGGATTTACTTTGGTTCATGGTTTAAGGAGAAATAGGCCATCATTATAAGGAAATAATGACGGGGGAGTACAAGGGAGCTGATACCATTTTTGCCAGTAGTCAGAAAGGAGAGAGGGAGGGAGGAGAGGAAGAAGAAGGGAGGGAAGGAAGGAGGAATGCTGGTACTCAGCTTATTTTCTCCTTTTTATTCAGTTCAGGGCTCCTGGCTATGGAGTAGTGCTGCTTAGATCAGGATGGATGTTCCCTTTTTAGTCAGTAACTCTTTGGAAATGCCCTCATACACATGCCCAGAAGTGTGTCTCCTCAATAATTCTAAATCCAGCTAAACTGACAACCAAGATTGGCCATCACCAATTGTTAAGTACACTTAACTCAGGGAAGCAGCAGATACAGGGATGTCTATAAGTAGTGGGTATCAAGGTTCTGATTCAGAATATTTACACTGCCATGGTCTTTTGTTTTGAATCCTATCTCTGAGTGATACAGCATGGACCTCCCAGGTTCACATGACTTGAATTAGACTTCATATCTCAAGTTCATCATGAATTTAAAATTAGATTTGGGGTGTTGAATATAGAAATTAAGTAGAGGGTCAATACAGTGGAAAAACCCACCACCTGATGCAGGACCTCTTCATAAGCTGTTTGTTTGGATTGCTCTGTAGTTCAAAGACTTGACTTTCTTGCATTTCCAGGTAAACCCTAACCTGATCAACCAATTTGAGAAGAAAGACCTTTGTTTTGTTGGTCAGGATACAGATGGAAAGAGGATGGAAATCATTGAATTGACAAGTAAGTGGGTTCTTTGTTTCTAGAAAGCTTCATGATGACCTACCACCTTTTGTCAAACACAGACTGATTTGGGATCCAGTTCATTCTCCCCTTCCCCAATTCCTCCATCCCTTGAAATACATACAGAACTTCAGAATGCATGGAAAACACATTGCATATAGTCCTTATCATTTTGGGACCCATTTGTCTGAACTTAGCATCAGTAGCTGAATTTTCCCAAGTCTACCAACTATACAAGTAGTAGGCATCTCTGCCATTTCCCCTCTCTCCATCCTGTGTCCTAAGCGAAATGCTCTGCAGAAAGCAGACAGCTTGTTGTCCGCTGCCTTTCTTCCTCTTTTCCTTGCTCTTGGTGGTAATTGTGGATGTCTACTGGATGGATGTCCCAGATCCTCTCCTGTCTCTCTCTTCTGCTTGTGCTCGAAGGGCAACCTTGGGTCACTCATTGAATTTCTAGACACTAATCACCACACTTGGAGATTTTCATAAGACCAATCAAGGTGGCTTATGTGGCTTAGTTGGTAGAATGTTTGCCTAGCATGCACAAAGCCCTGGGTTTTGTCCCCAGCACAGTATAACCTAGGCATGGTGGTACACTCCTGTAAAGTAATCCCAGCAGGAGGAGAAGTTCAAGGGTATCCTTGGTAACATATTGAGGACAGCCTAGGCTACATAAAGCCCTGTCTTAAAACAAAAACCAAAGAACTAGACTCCTGTTGAGGAAGAGCACAAAAGAGAACCTGTGATCGAAATACTTGGAAAGTTTTGACTCAGGGAGATTGCTTTGATCTAAAGGCCAGCATGGGCTTGTGGTGAGTTTGAGGCAGGTTTGGGTTACATGAAATAAATAAGTAGCACAGAAATTGTGTATGTCTGGGCTAGGAGACCCTGAAATCATAGGCCCCAAAGCACACATTTGTTACTGACAAGACATAAGGCAGCCTTCTTCTCATTCAGTCCTGCAAGGACATAGTATACCTGAGGTCCTAGCTTGTCTCAGCTCTTCATCTTTCCCAGGGGTCAGCTCTCTCTCTCTCTCTCTCTCTCTCTCTCTCTCTCTCTCTCTCTCTCTCTCTCTCCCTCCCTCCCTCTTGCTCTCTCTCTCTCCCTCCCTCTCTCTTCCTGTCTGCCCCCCCCCCTGTGTGTGTGTGTGTGTGTGTGTGTGTGTGTATACGCGTGTATGTTGAACTAATACTTTTTCTTTTTCCACATTTTTAAGTGATTAAAAAATTTTAAAAGAATATTTGTGACATGAGAAAGTAATTACATAATTATGGGACATTTGAGTTTCTGTGTCCATAAATAGTTTTATTGGAGATTGGTATAGGGGTAGAAAGGTGTGACCTTTTCCTCACTCCTCATAAAGGTCACCGCTGACATTCCTGCACCACAAGATTAATAAGAGAAGAGTAAGGGATGGGGATTTAGCTCAGGGTAGGAGGCCCTGTGTTCAGTCTTCCACAGAGAAAAGCATGTTCCAGTTAGTTTTTCTCTTGTTGTGATATACCACTATGACCAAAAGCAACTCGGGGAAGAAAGTGTTTATTTCATTTTACAGGCTATATTTAGTCCATCATTAAGGGAAGCCAAGGCAGGAGCTTGAAGCAAAACCACAGAGGAATGCTGCTAATTGGCTTGCTCCCAGGCTCACATCCAGCTAGCTTTCTTATACAGCCCAGGACCACCTGCTAGGGATGGTATGGCCCACAACAGGCTGGCCATTCCTACATCAATTAGTAGTCAAGAAAATCTTCCACAGACATGACCAGATGCTAATCTGATGAAGGCAGTAATTTAACTGAGCTTCCCTCTTCCCAGGTGTGTTAAGTTGACAACTAAGATTAGCTGTCACAAATCTACCCTTTGTCAATGGAACACTCAAACACATCGCTGTTAAGCCATAACTTTTCCTTTCTGGTTCCCAAGATCTCATGTTGGTATCACAATATATAACGGTCCCATTTTTAAAGTCTCAAAATCTTTAAAAATTTTAATGCTTTAAAAGTTCAGTATCTCGCCGGGCGGTGGTGGCGCACGCCTTTAATCCCAGCACTCGGGAGGCAGAGCCAGGCGGATCTCTGTGAGTTCGAGGCCAGCCTGGGCTACCAAGTGAGCTCCAGGAAAGGCGCAAAGCTACGCAGAGAAACCCTGTCTCGAAAAACCAAAAAAAAAAAAAAAAAGTTCAGTATCTCTTTAAAAGTCCAAAGCTGCTTTACTGTGGGCTCTTGTAAAATTAAAAACAAACAAGCAAACAAACAAATGAGTTATATACTTTCTTATTTGAAGAGAGAAGAACCAGGTCACAGGTACAATCCGATCAAAGCAAAACCAAAATCTTACCAGTGTAAAAAACTCCATGTCCACAGTCTGGGACTCATTCGTGATCTTCTGAGTTCCTAAAGGTTTGGGCAGTCCCACTTCTCTGGCTCTGCCATCTACAGCAAAAGCTTGTTATAGGTTCGGGTTCCACACCTGCTACTGTCCTTGGCTGTTGTTCTAAAGTCCTGGAATCTCCAATAATCTGGCGTCTTCACTGCAGCTGGGGTTGCACCTTCATCAGTGGCCTTCTCTGGCTTCTCTTCTTGGATTCTAACTCTGCCACATGGCGTCAAGCCTATCTTCTCTCCATGACCCTTTCAGTTCTTCAGCTTTCCTGCTGCCGGACGGTGGTGGTGCCTGCCTTTAATCCCAGCATTCGGGAGGCAGAGGCAGGTGGATCTCTGTGAGTTTGAGGCCAGCCTGGTCTATAGAGAAAGTTTCAGGACAGCCAGGCCTACACAGAGAAATCCTGTCTTGAGAAAACAAAACAAACAACAACAACAAATACCATATAGACCACTCGTACACATTAATAAGGTAGACACTGACCAAAACTAACTGAGGGAGGAAAGGGCTTATTTCATCTTACAAGTTACAGTCCATCATCAAGGGAAGCCAAGGCAAGAATGGAAGGCAGGAGCTTGAAGCAAAACCCATGGAGAAATGCTGCTTGCTGGCTCGCTACCAAGCTCACATTCAGCTCCCTTTCTTATACAGCCCAGGCCCACCTGTCCAGGGCTGGTGCTGCCCACAGTGAGTTGGGCCTTCCTGTATCAATGAGCAATCAAGACCATGGTGGCCCACAGACATGACCACAGGCCTCTCTGGTGGAAGCAGTTCTTCAGCTGAAGCTTCCTCTTCCTAAGTGTGCCAGGTTGACAAGATTAGCTATCACAAAGCAGAACAAGTCTTTTTAGTTAGTTTCATGTGACCCAGGGGCCTTCAGAAATGAAGACCCCCAAATCCAGGGAAAACTCTTTATTCTTAGCTTTGAAGAGGAATAGGCAGTCCTGTGGAAATCTGATAAGGCATTATCATAGATGTGATAAGGTGGAATAGACGGAGGGGCCAGCTAGACTGTGCAGATTCTTGGCACCTCTCTGCAGCATTCTTGCCTCACATATGCAGGGCAGAATCCCCCTGGAATGAGGGTCTTTCCCCCCTGTTAGTTTTGTTTTTGTTTTTCTGAGACAGTTTCATGTATTACAGGCTTGCCTTCTTCAACTCAGTACCTAACTGAGGCTTGCCTGAAACTCCTGAACTCCTTGGCTCCACCTCCCAGATGCTGGGATCACAGGCGTGGGCTACCATGCCTGGCAGGAATCAGGGTGTTATGACTTACTTTCAGGCACGGTGACTCTGAGAGTTTATGTCGGCTCTCACTCACACAGGGAGGGATGGTCAGAGTGACCTTGCTTCTGACGATGCTTTTTATGTTGTAGTAAGAAAGATGCATAGTTAGGAAAGAGACTTCATGGCTTGCAATGCTTAAAATATTTATTATTCAGCCCTTTACAGAAATATTTGCAACCCCAGGTCTAGACCCACGGGCATACATTTCATTTAACAAACTTGAACACTTGGGAAATTTCTTCTTGATCTGTTTGTTTGTCTGGATGTTCTCTAGACATATTCATTTTATGTCAAAATAAATTGAAATGTTCTCCATACTTTTCCTTAAGATGATTTATATTAATGTACCATCAGTCTCCTCTCCTGGAAGTTTCTTACCCTCTCTGCCATTGACATTTGGAGTAAGATCATTCTTTGTTGTTGGGCTGTCCTGCATGCTGTATGGTATTTATCATCATCTCTGGCCTCTGGTCAACGGATACTAGTAGCAGACCTGCTTCCTCCTACCCCTTAGTTGTAGTGTTTCAAAAACATCTTTACAGAGTTGGGGGAAAGGTCTATCTTCCTGGCAGAGTGTTTGTCAGAATGCACAAGATCCTGGGCCCAATCCACAGTACCTCAATGCCAGGTGTGATGATGCATGCTTGTAATCCTGGTACTTGGAAGGTAGACTTAAGAGGATCAGGAGTTCAAGGTCATCTTTAGGTACACTGAGATCTACTTGGGCTACAAGAGACCTTGTCTCAAAAACCAAACCAAACTCAAATCAACCAACCAATCAGCCAATCAAAAAAAATTTGTAGACACTGGGAAGTCAAGAACCACCTCCCACCTGATCAAGAACCATTCTCCTAGATCAACTTGACATTGGATTATTAAGCTCTTCCCCCCCTTCACACCCCAACTTGTAATCACTTGTCAAGTGCCAGAGTCTGCTAATGCAGAGAACGTGTTTGAGATTGCCCTTCCAGTCCCTGCCACCTTAGCCTCACTTCATGATGGCTTCAAGTCTGACTTGTCCCCAAGTTCCTCCCTGCCTCTAGGTTCTCCCATCTCTAGTACTTCCTAAGCAGGACAGGGCTCTGGCTTTGCAGTCCAGCCATGCTAACTTGTTGGCAAAACCACTCTGGTTTGTTGAATGTGAAGTATGTGTTGGATACTCCAAAATGGTAGCCTGATCTGGGTTTGGTGGTGCATGCTTGTAGTTCCAGAATTTGTGAGACTGAGCAGGAGGATCACTGTAAGTTTGAAGCCTATCTATGTTACATAGTAGACTATGTAACAGCCAGGGCTACAAAAGGAGACCTTGTTCACAAATTAATAGCCAGGCATGGTGGCTCTTGTCTTTAAACCCAACACTCGGGATCTCTGAGTTCAAGGCCAGCCTAGTCTACATAGTGAGTTCCAGGACAGCCAGGGCTATACAGAGAGATCCTGTCTCAAACAAATAAACAAACACAAATACATAAAATATTAGAACGATGTTGGAGAAACTGCTTTTTCAACCTATGTGATTTAGACTTCCAGACTCTCTTTACAACTTGGCAACTTTTTCTCCTTCTCAGCCCATGTCATAATTCTCTGATTTAAAGGCTCTTTTCTGTCTTTTCCCCTTTTGATGGTCCATAATCTATTGGAGTACTTCAAGAATCTGAAACAGAAAGGGGGTGGTGTGAATCCCAAACCAGGAGGAGATGATGTTGGAGATGGCTGCCTTGAACACAGTAGCCTCTTACCTGGACTCTGAAAGAAAACAATGGACATTTAGTGAGCTCACTAGATGCTTGATCCTAAACCCCTGCTAGGGACTCCATATGTGCCTGTGGTGTGCGTCACAAAGTAGTTGATGGACGTTAATTCCCGTTTATGAAGGAGGCTGGAGTGCAGAGAGGTTAACTAACATGTCCAGGACCATTGAGCGAGGCATTGGGAGGTGGGGAGTAAACTCAGGTTGTAGCCTTCTTCTGTCCCCACCTTCAAGACACTTTAGTTTTCTGTATTTCCATTGGGTCTTCTGCCTAGAGTATATTTTGTGGTGGTTATTATTGTTTAATTTTGTGTTTTGGGGGGTTTCTTTTTGAGATACAGGTTATCATTCAGTAGCTCAAACAGTCCTAAAATACACTATTTAGCCCAGCCTCCACCTTGAGATAATTCTCCTGCTTCAGCTTCCCAAGTGCTGGCATTACTGGTGTAAGCCACCCTGTCTGGTTACTGTGGAGTTTTGGATGAGAATAGTAATGGTGTGTTTCAGGAGTCATTTTGATGTCAAAGTATGATCACTGATTGCTGTTGAAGGCTACCAGCCTCTCTTGGCTTGTGAGAAGAGGGCAGAGAATTTCTTAAGCAGCTAACTGTTTACTTTGTTCAAGTGCTCATTCTCTTTTCATTCTCCTGCTTCTCTCATTGTCAGCAAATACCGAGAGGCCACTTTCTTCACAAAGATTTAGATGCCCATTGACGCCTTCCGAGTTAATGAAGGCTGGGAAGGAAATGAGAGCTGCTGTAAAACCTTGCAGTTTTTGAAAGCTGACTGCAAGGGAATTCATTTTATGAAGGAAAATTCCCCAGAAGATTTTGATCTTAAGTACCCTTTAGAAGCCTAGCCACGAGTCTCTACCGTCCCTCAAGGATTCTGAGAGGAACAAGGCTTGAGATTTGTAGAATGTCAGAATCTGCTTAAAAGCGATTAAGAGCATTATTTTTAAAGGTACTTTGTTTGACTGATAGAACATCATCAAAATAAAAACTCTTTCACTATTCTTCATCTCCACCCAGAGAATTTGTTTGGATAAAATGATTCTGAGCAATGATCCATTCATTTAAATAGTCTGTCCCTGGCTCTGACATGATCTGTGTCACAGCATCTCTCTGTAGCTCTACAGAAACAGAAGTACTGTCTTTTTTTCTTTCTAAGACATCCCTAGATATTATGCTATAATCTTTAATGTGTTTTACTTTAAAGTTATATTGCTCAATTTTGTCTCTAAGTGTGGATGACTTTTCTTTGTTTTTAAAATAAAGTTTTGTTTATTATGTTTTTTGTTTTTTTAATTTATTACATTTGTTTCCTTATTTGTGGGGGTGGAGGTGAAGGGCGGGCCTCGTGCCATGACTTGTATATGGAGGTTAGAAATCTTATGATTCTTTCCTTCCATCACATGGGCCCCAGGGATGGAATTCAGGTAGTCAGGTTTAGTGGAGGCAAGCAATTTTACCTGCTGAGCCATTCCTAAGGCCCTTGGTTTTTTGTTTGTTTTTGTTTTTGTTTTTCTGTGTAGCTGAGGTTTACCCAGAACTTACGGTGTAGACGAGGTTGCCTTCAAAGTTGTGGTGATCCTCCTATCTCTGCCTCCTAAATGCTGGGATTACCAGCTTGTACCACTAGGTCTGACTGTTCTAGTTCGAGTTCTGTTGTTATAGATACTATGACCAAAAGCAACCTGGTGAAGAAAGAGTTTATCTTGGCTTATACTTCCAGGTCAGAATTTATCACTGAGGGAAATTAAGGCAGGAACTGAAGCAGAAACCAAGGAGGAACACTGCTTACTGGTTTACTCTCTAGATCATGCTCAGTTTTCTTATACAGCCCAGACCCATTTACCTGGGGATGGTGCCACTCACAGTGGACTAGCCCTTCCTCATCAATCAAGACAATCTCTTACAGACATGGGATAGGCCAATGTGATCAAGGCAGTTCTTCACTTGAGGTTTCCCTTTCCCAGGTGACCCTAGGCTATATCACATTGACAATAAAAACTACTGAGGACACTGACTTGTTTTGTTTTGCTTTTAGACAGGGTCTCCTGTAGCACAGGATGGCCTGTGCACTTGTAGTGTAGCTGAAGATGACCGTGAAATCCTGATCTTCTTGCTTCCACCTCTGGGGTGCTGGGATTATATCCCTGCACCAACATACTTTACTCTTTTCTTTTGTTGAGGGAGAAGGTATCATTTCCTGTGCTAAGCTTTCATAGCCGAATAGCCCTCCAATTCAAGGAGGCTTCTGCTTTCATGTACAGTATTCCTCCACAGGATTTTTCTGAGGTCAGACCTGTCCAGGAGAATTTGCTCCAATGAAGAAACTATTCTGCCTGCTTAGTGTAGTGTCTACCAGCTATGAATGCTCAGTTTGTGTGTGTGTGTGTGTGTGTGTGTGTGTGTGTGTGTGTGTGTGTGTATGTGTATTCAGTGTCTTCTATTACTTTCTACCTTGTTGCCATGAGATGGGGTCTCAACAAATTCCCCACTTCCTGCTAGGCTGGCTGGCCAGGAAGCTCTCCAAATCCTCCCATCTTCACCCTCCTATGCTGGCCTTACAGGCATGGGGCAGTGGTGCCTAACTCTTTTACATGGACGCCGGGGATTTGAACTCAGGTTCTCATGCTTGCTTAGAAAATGCTTTTATTCACTAAGCCAAGTGGTAGGGGGTAGCTTGAAGTCTTGGGATGCTATGGAAATTGAGCCAACAATGAAAGGTCTTCCAGAAGCAGGCTAGGGCTGGGGATGTAGCCAAGTTGGTAAAATGCTTGCTTAGACTGCATGAGGTCCTGAGTTCAATCCCCAGCACTGCATAAGCCCAGTGTAGTGGCACACACCTATAATCCTCCTATAATACTTAGGAGGTAGAGGTAGGAATATCAAAAGTTCAAGATCATTCTCAGCTATGGAGCAGTTCAAGGGTAGCCTGGGCTACATGTCACCCTATCTCAAAAGAAACCAGAAAAGTAGGTTGATGTTCACGAAGGAGACTTCATGTTAGCACTCAAAAGCTCTTGCTTCACTTTCCTTAGTCTAACACCACCACCTCAAAAAAAAAATACCCAAGAAATTCTAGGTCTCTAATTAAGTTAAATGGATTTTGCAATTTGGGATTTTATTCCAAAAATGGACCATGGAAATAACTCTGTTGGCAAGTGAAATAATCCCTTCAGTGTTTAGTGTGGGTTGGTGTTCAGTTATATGGTAACCTTTCTAGTGGCTGGTTCTCATGTCTGCTTGATTCAATTACTTCATGCTTGCTTTCATTTCAGGTCATCCCTATTTCATTGGTGTGCAGTTCCATCCCGAGTTTTCTTCTAGGCCAATGAAGCCTTCCCCTCCATACCTGGGGCTCTTACTTGCCGCAACTGGGAACCTGAATGCCCATCTGCAACAGATAAACAGACTGTCGCCCAGGTAACCAGCTTAATGCTCCTAGCAATGAGCCAAGATGTATGGTTACTATCATCTTAGCTTTTCCACAAAATTGAATGTCATTGTGGAATTTAAGTTTTGAAAAAAAGTATATGTTTAATTTTTTCTGCATTCTATCTTTAGTATCCTGCCTAAAGTTTTTCCTGTAGAAAGATCTTATAAATCATAACCCTAGTGTTTTCTTCTAGCACTTTCATAGTTTAATATCCAACAGTGTATCTGGACTTTATTTTGAGTTAAGAATGTAAGGTAAGGGATCTGACTTTTCTTGTCTTCCCTGAAAGTTGTTAAGTAAATTGGTTTTTATTTAATTTCTGTTTAGTTCAATTGATGATCCTAATCTTTTGCCATTCTTTTCATTATCATAGTATTAATGGACATCGAGATTATATCGACCTTAGGAATATTATCATTTAAATTTTTAAAGCTATGTTTTGCTGGTTGTAGTGATGTATATCTGTATCCCCAGTATTTAAGAGGCTAATGCAGGAGGATCATGGATTCCAGGCTAAGCTGGTATAAATAGTGAGACATCATATCATGTCTTTTTGTTTTTGGTTTTAGAGACAGGGTCTCACACAGCTCAGGCTGTTCTTGAATTTGCTTTGTAGCCAAGGATGACCTTGAACTTTGGATCCTCCTGCCTCTAACTTCCAAGTGCTGGGATTACAGATATGTGTCATCACATTTAGCTGTCCTGAGGATGGAGCCAAGAGATTCATGCATGCTAGGCAAGTACTCTTACCTACTCAACTACATCTCCAACCTAAAAAACCCAAAACCAGCCAATCAACCAAACAAAAAACAGGAGAGGAGGGAAGGTATTGCTCTGTTCTAATTTCCCAGGTGAACAGCACAGTAATTGTTAAGATCTAGGTAGTGACCGAGATTTCATGACATTTAAACAATAGTTTGGATAGAATGTATATCTGTATTTATTCTCCTCTGAGAATATTGTATGGATTATGTGTAGCGAGTTTAGAAGTAGAAGGAACTGCCTGGAATATACCAGACTTAGGAAGCATGATTGACTGTCACAGTAATGCTGTATGTTGCTTAGACTCTTGCCCTTGTAAACAACCATTGCAGGACTGCAGTTGAGATCAGGAGCATCAGGACAAGGGGTGTCTGTAAGCTTGTGTTACACAGTCTTCTTGTAATGCATTATTGTTCAGAGACGCTCACAGCCCTAGTGCTTCACTTTCCTGTGGGTTCATATGGGAACAGCTTTACATGGCTTACATGGCTGCTGCTGCCTTGACCAAATTGATAGTCACTCTTTGCTGTCACAACCAGGGCAGTGGCTTTCCAACTGGGTCTGGGGACTACCATAAGGAACAGGCTAAGGGGACTCAGATTCTTCCCTGCTTCAGATGTGGTCTCCAAATCTCCTGGCTTCTGTGCTATTGTTCTGCATAAGAGATTTCATATGATGAAAACATTCCTGGGTTCTCAGGCTGCAGATTGAAATTCCAATGTGGAATTCCAAATCACACGTGTGCTATGACGTTTTATGGCTACCTGATGGTCTCTAGTATTACAGATTCTAGTGTAGGAAGGAGGTGACAATGGAGCAAGTTAGTTGGCCGAGAGAAATGATACACTGATAAGTATCTGGCCGTTTGCAAGCATCAGCTCACAAGGGAACGAGTGTGGTTCGTGTAGTCTGCCTGTCCTTTTACCCACTTGCTGTGTTATATGAGGCCTATTGATTTCTGCATGGAGGCTGGCATTTCTGAGTGAAGCTCCTCCATCGCTGAGCACTTGCCTGAAACAGCTAAGCCAGATACACTCTTAGCGAGAATAGCCCTCTTAATGGAGCTCGTTGTGATTTCAGCCAACCCGTAGTCCTCCATGGTTGTGCATCAGTCACAAGTTGGTGCCTTCCTTTATGTCAGCCTGGCTACTGAGCACACAGGTGGCTCTCCACTAACGTGGAAAGTGCAGGCAGAAGAGGAGGGTGGTCTAAACCTGAGATATTGCAGGGCTCTCAATGAAGAATGGTGATTGATGTGGCAGGTGTGGCTGCACATCCCTGTAATGCTAGCACTCCAGAAACTAGAGGATCACTGCAAATTCAGTGCTAGCCTGGTCTACACTATTAGTTCCAAGCCAGTCAGGGTTACATATCAAGACCCTGCCTCAATAAAGCAAAATAACCCAAAACCAGTCTAGGAAATGTAATTCAGTTGTAGAATGTTTGCCTACCATGTATGAACCCTGAGGTTTGATCCCTAGCACCATACAGCACCACATGATGACGCATGCCTATAATCCCAGCACTTCGGAGGTAGAACCAAGAAGATCAGAAGTTCAAGGTCATCAAGGCTAGCCTGGGCTATGTGAACCCTTGCACACACACACACACACACACACACACACACACACACACACACCAACCCACAAAAAAGCCAATAAACAAATCCCCCAAACCACAAGAGTGGTGACTAATAATCCAGTGACAGACACCAGGATTACAAAGGACTTTTTACCTCAACTGCTCTCTGGCACCTCCATGGGATTGCTGAGTTCTGAATGGCAGGTGACTGCCTTGCTGGCCACACACCGATACAAGCTGTGCTTCTTTCAAACAAGATTACTACTTGCAAACAGCTCGAGCATGAACACTGGAAGAATGACTTCCTTCCCCTGAAATTGTCTCTGATTATACTCAGCTGTATGGCACATGGGCAGCCTATGTCTTCAAGGTGCAGAGTGTAAAAATTCTTGGCTTTAATAAGAACACCTGAGCTGTAACCTCTGCATCCTGCCCAGTGGAGAAAATATTTATCATTGAGCACTTGGGAGTTGTAGTAAGAATATTATTTAGGGATTTAGAGCTGGTGAACTAAATTGTCAGCCACTCCGTTATCTGCAGAATGGCAGCAGTTCTGAAGGCTAATTCCCCCTAGTTTTAGGCTTACAGCAGTTGATTCAAGGGCACAATCATTCTAGGGTAGTATTCTTAATTTTTTTTATTAATTGCTGTGAAGTACATGCAAATCAGGCCAGAGAGATGGCCTAGTGAGTACAGGTGCTTGCCGCCTAGCCTGACAATCTGAATTGGGTCCCCAGGAGAGAACTGACTCCCACAAGTTGTCCTCTGACCTCCACACATGCACCCTCCTCTCCCCCCACAATGTAATTTAAAGTACAGGCAGCCGGTCATGGTGGTACATATTTTTAGTCCAAGCACCAGGAGGCAGAGGAAGGCGCAACTCTGAGTTTGAGGCTTAAAGCCTTGTCTACTGTTGAGTTCAGGCCAACCACGACTACACAGTGAGACCCCCCCCCCCGGAAAAAAGAAGAAGGGGAGGAGGAGGAGGAAGGAAGAGAAGGAGGAGAAGCAGCAGCATCTGCCACCACAGCCAGATGTGCTGGTTCACATTTATAATTCTAGCACTTGGGAGGTTCAGGTAGGTGAGTCACCATGGGTTTGATGCTAACCTGAACTACAGATCGAAACCTTACTTCAAAATACAAAACAAAACAAAACAAAATCAAAAAAGAGCCTTGTTTTGAGGGTCCCACCTACGAATACCCACATATTCAGTAATTCTTGAGTCGAAATCAGAATATAGTTGTATTCACAGCTAATATCTATGACAGTGACACAGTATACATGCACACAAGGAGCAGTCGGGGACGAGATGTAAGCAGAGCTCGGAGAAGTCCGTTTTAGGTTTCCTGTGCTCCCCTACTCCCATCTGTGCTAGCAAGTGCACCCTCATTCCAGTGCTGCGTGCACGTGCGCGTGCGAGAGAGCGAGAGAGAGAGCGAGAGAGAGAGCGAGAGAGAGAGCGAGAGAGAGAGAGAGCGAGAGAGAGAGAGCGAGAGCGAGAGAGAGCGAGAGAGAGCGAGAGCGAGAGAGAGCGAGAGAGAGCGAGAGAGAGCGAGAGAGAGCGAGAGAGAGCGAGAGAGAGCGAGAGAGAGAGAG